TATATTCATTTCAAGAGAATTATGCATCCTTAAAAATTATAGTTATGAAGATATATTTACAAAGAAAAGTTTCTTTTTTTGTGTGTGTGTGGTACCAGTGATCAAACACAGCATCTCATGAGCTAGGCAAGTGCTCTATCACAGAGCTACATTCTCAGCCTTTTTTATTTATTTATTTTTTATTGTAGAAGTAAGAGTCTCAATAAGTTGACCAGGCTGGCTTGAACCTGTCGTCTCCTACCTCAGCCTTCTGCATTGCTGGAATTACAGGTTACATTACCATGCCTAGTTAATGACAATGTTAAGCAAAAAAATAAATTAGAAAATTGTATAAATACCAGGAAAACATTTACATAAGGTACATATTCAATATGACCAAAGACTAGAAAGGCATATGCACCAAATATATCAATAAATGTGTTATAGCAATAAGATTATGTAAAATAGCCCTCTTGGTTTTTTTTAAACTGTAGGAAAACTTACACTGATTTCATTATAATTTCTTAAAACATCACTCAAAAAGAGGCATCAATGTGGCATTTGTCCTATGTAAGGCTATGAGGGTCAGACCTTAGCTGGTCATTTTTCAAACAGCTCTGGGTCCTGCAGCAATATCTGCAGCCATGTGCACTTCACTGATCAGAACACTGGTGTAAAGAACCAGTTGTCTATAATTTCTCATCAGGTGATCAGGAGAGTATAGGGATCACAATCACATCAGAGGTGCTAGCTCCCAGGCAAGTAATTACTAAACCAAACTCCAATTCCAGTTTCTTTTTTTGGTACTGGGAATGAAACTCTCGGGTCCTTGTGCTTGCAGCAAAGCAGGCACTAGAACCACTGAGCTAAATCCCCGGCCCTCCAGTTTCTTGTCTAGGGAAGAAGGTTGCTGAAAATGATCTCTGCTTGACTCTTGCCAACAGCTGAAGAAGCACTCACTATGTTTTAGTGAATGGATGGGGAAGGGGTTCCAAAACAATGATATAGCTCCTGTTTGGGGGAGCTTATAATCCTTTGGAGTAAAACATAAATGTGCAGCAACTACAAGGAACTACTATATAACTTACAAAGTGGTCTACAAATTATATCCAACGACTGAAGGAATAAGGAATAATCAAAATGGCCTCAGTCAAAAATGCCGAACAAATTGTAGTAAATAAAAGATCCTAAAAAAAGGTGATAACCATGGACTAACAAAGTGTAAAAAGCATGGGCTTTGGAGTAGGGGGAGTACACTAAGGACTGTGGGAAGACAAGATTGGGGAGCTGAAAGTAGGAACAGTCAGTGGTGAACCTTGGATGCTAGATTAAATTTAGATCTTGCATGATAGCCAGTAAAGGACTATATAGAGCAGGAGAGTAACTTGAACAGAGAAATTGGAATATTTCCCAAGACATCCAGAAGATACATTGGGATCAAGAAGAGCATTCCTCATGCACAGGAACATTTCTGTAATATTTGAGGTGATCTGCTTTATTCTATGTTTTCGTAACTGCATTCTTAGTCTCCCCCCAAACAATGACAGTCTAGCCCCTCAAGTCTCTTTAGAAAATAATGGTGAGCATGAGTACCATTCCACCTAAATGGTTTCCTTGTATGTTATATCCATAGTTCTCATCAGCCATGTCAGCTGTGCACAGTCAAATGTCTCCAAGCATAATGAAAGCAAAGAGTGCCAGGAGACCTTCAGAAACATTCATCTGAAGAAAACTGGTATGGGAACCAGTGATTAGAAGGCAGATTCAGCTGGGCGTGGTGGTGTACCCCTGTAACCTCAGCACTCAGGGGCAGGAAGATAGCCATGAGTTCAAGGCTAGATGGGCTACAGAGTGAGTTTAAGGCCAGCCTGAACTACATAGTGAGACCCTGTCTCAAAAAACCAAAACCAAACAAACAAACAAAACAAACCCTGATAGACTCAGATTGTAAGTATTCTTGTGAAAAGTAGACGCCCAGCAATCATACAGCAGAGAAAATTGTGTAAGAGATAAATTCCCCCTTTTGACAGCTCCCATAGATCACCTGCCATTTGGTAAGGCAGCAATCCTTCAGCCCATGACCTTTTTCTCTTAAATAGAAAGAAGTCTGTTTCCTACGATGTCCCAAAGGAAAGGCAAGGCTAGTGAGTTATGGGAGTTGGGTTCACAAAGCATAATAGTCTCATATCCTTTGCAGAACAGCACCCCTACACTAATCAAATCTTTCTTAGCGGGGTCAAAATCTAACTGAAAGAACATAAATATAGAGAAAAAGAATTTTCTCCTTTATCATAAAGTGTTTTCCTGCCTCCCACACTATTAGCCAAATAATCATCAGTGGTAACTTCAACACTGACAGTCTCACTTTCAGTGAAATCAAATGCAGAATGAAAGCGAATGCTGGCCACCAACACAGGGAGCTGGGTTCCACTTAGGCTGTCACTTTGGCAGTGGCTGAGGAACACAGAATTCTGACAAGGAAGCAAGGCAGGTCTGGAGGAAAGCAAGCCTTGCCTTCAGCTGCCAGACCATGACAGCAACTACTTACATGGTTTCTGTCCTGGGACAGCAGCAATATCCTAAGGCTTTTCATGCTTGAGCTTCTATCCAAAATGTCAATTGCTTTATCGAGATCATCTTGGTTTTTCAGCAGGATGGAGAGCTGTGACACAGGACAGAGAAAATGGAAATCATAAACTACAAATTTTTCTCAATGCTTTGGTTTACAAAAATAAACAAAAACTAAGTTTAGAGAAAAACAATCTCACTGGATACTACTGGGTCTTAAAGATCTAGCTGAAATCATAGAGATTTCTTTCTGTAAGTGTGTAGCTCAATAATTTTTAGTCACTTTATGGAGTTGTGCAATCATCACAATTCAATTTTCAAAGATTGCCCTTACTCCTAAAACATCTCTTGTGCCCATTTACAGTCACTGTCCCTTTGTACCTCCAGCCCCAGGAAGCCACTGATCTACTTTCTGTCTCTATAGATTTGCCTCTTCTAGACATTTAATATAAATGAAATCAGACAGTTCATACATATTCAATTCAATTCAAAGATTCATAGTCTTCTGCATCTACCTCCTTTTACTTAATGTTTTTTTGTTCATCCACTGCTGTAGCATATCTCATTGTTTGAGACAATTTCTGAGAACAGCTTCCTCTCTAAAAAAAAATACTGTCTACTCCAAAGCATCAAATCCTAAACAGCTACATCTCCCATATTGCTTTCCAAAGTAAGCAGTACAATCCCCACCTCCACCCCCAGTCTCCAATTGTGCTGACGTCAAAAGAATAAGCAGGAAAGGTAGAGGAGAGGTAGGGGGATGGGCAGGGGATGAAAACTTAGCACAAATTTAGACTACAGAGCAACACTTACTATCTTAATGTTTAATGACAAAGAATCAGGCTGAGAACCATCTCTTCCATTTTCATTCCATTCAATTATTAAAGAGAAAGTCAGGCACAGATACAGTACGTCTTACTCACTGTTAAAGCAGAGAACATTACGAGTACATAGTATTAAAAGATGCAAAAGCAGGGCCAGGATTTAGCTTAGTGGCACCACGCCTACCTCAGAAGTGCAAGGTCCTGAGTTCAATCCCCAGTACAGTAAAAAAAAAAAAAAAAAAGATGCAAAAGCATGCTTTGTCTAGGACCTAACAAATGTCAGATCTAATACATTTTTGATAAAAATAAAACCAAGCAAAAGTTCAAATTAATTCAGTTTCTAATTTATAATACAATGAGATGAAAGAACTCTAAATCTTAAACTAGGAAAAAACAAACAGTAAGAATAGTATCTGAAATAAAATTTCAGAGCCAGGCATGGTGGCTCATGCCTGTAATCCCAGTTCTTGGGAGGCTGAGACAGGAGGACTCGATTACATGGTGAGTTCAAGGCAGGCCTGAACTACATAATGAGTCCCTCTCTCAAAAAAAAAAGTAAAATAAAATTTTAGCTGGGCAAGGTGGCACACAAATGTAATACCAGCTACTCGGTATTACAGGAGGCAGGTATTAATGAGGTAGGAGGATGCAAGTTTGAGGCCAGTCTGCAACTTAGACACCCTGTCTCAAAATAAAATAGAAAGAGGGCCGGGGATTTAGCTCAGGGGTTCCACTGCCTGCCTCGCAAGTGCAAAGTCCAGAGTTTGATCCCTGGTACAAAAGAAAGAAAGGAGAGAGAGGGAGGGAGAGAGAGGGAGAGGGAGGGAGGGAGAGGGAGGGAGGGAGGGAGAGAGAGAGAGAATAAATTTTAATAAGGCCTAGAGACGTAGCTCAGTGTGAAGACCTTGGATTCAATTCCCAGTACTGTGCAAAAAATAAATAAATTCAATTTTTAAAATGGGTAAGGGCCAGATCTAATGGTACATATCTGTACTTCTAGCACTCCAGGAGACTGAAGCAGGAGGATATCAAGGTCAACCTCAGCCTGGACAACTGAGTGACTTAGCAAGACCCTGTCTCAAAATAAAAAATAAAAACACATGAAAAGATGTTCAACCTCACTAGTCATTAGAAAAATACAGGGCTGGGGATTTAGCTGAGTGGCACCGCCGCCTGCCTTGCAAGCACAAGGTCCGGAGTTCAATCCCCAGTACCAAAAAAAACCCCAAATCAAAACCACAATGACATACTGTGTTCCCCAGCCACCAGCATGGCTATTAAACAGAAGGGTCTGGGCATATAGTTCAGTGGCAGAGCTCTTATCTAGCATATAAAAGGCCCTTGGTTCGATCCTCAGTACCAAAAACAACAAATAAATAGAAAAAAGAAAGAGAAAATAGCAAGTGACGCTGAGAATGGTGGAGAAATTGCAACTCTCATAAATTGCTAGTAGGAATGTATAATAGTGCACCCATTACAAAAAAGTTTGGGCAGTTAAAGAAAAGTTAGACTTGTCACGTAACCAAGCAATATCACTTATACATATATTTACGAACTGAAAAGATATGTAAAACTTGTACACAAATGTTTATCACATCATTATCCATAATCACCAACATCTAGAAACAAAAGTGTCCATCAGCAGATGAATGGATACTCAAAAACTGATACATCTATGGAATGGAATATTTATTATTTAGCCATACAGAACAATGAAGTCTTGATACATACTATAGTGTGGATGACTTTTAAAAATACAGACCTAGTGAAAGAAGCCAGAAACAAAAGGCCACATATTATATGATCCCACTTATATAAAATATTCAGAATAAGAAAATCAAAGACAGAAAATAAAAAGCTGAGGAAGAAAAGAAGAGGCAGTGACTACTAATGGGTACAGAGTTTCTCTTTAGGGTGATAAAAATGTTTTGGACTTAACGGATGGTGTTGGTTGCACAACTCTATGCATATAATAAAACCCACTGATGGCGGTACCTTAGTACCTCACTATAGAGGCCTGACCTTCGGTATAAAGCAGGCCCAGTATCGTGAATTGTATATTCTACTCGTGTTAGTGTGTTACTTTTTCTAGCCAGTGAGTAAGTGGCTGCTGATGGGGCAGACTGAATTGCTGGGAGAGGGAGACTGTGGAATGGAGTGAAGGCACTCCTATTTGTATACAATAAAAAGGCATTTCTGTCTCCCCGGATTTGTGAAAAAACAAACAACAACAACAACAACAAAAAACCACTGAATTGTATACTTAAGAGAGTGAACTGCATGGTAAGTGAATTGTATCTCAATAAAACATATTACAAAAATATAAATTAAATAAAACAACAGATTTTTTTCATTTGAGCTTCTCAAATCCTGGTATGGCAGAGTTTAAATAAAGGGCAAAGAAAAGAAAGGAATGAGGGAATTTTAAATTATACAGCAAGCCAAGTGTGCCAGCACACATCTGTAATCCCAGCACTTGGGAGGCTGAGGCAGGAGGATCACTGTGAGTTCAAGGCCAGCTTGAACTACATAGTGAGACCCTGTCTCAAAAAAAAAAAAAAAAAAAAAAAAGCCAGGGGTTTAGCTCAGTGGTGTCATTGCCTGCCTCACAAGCACAAGGTCCCAAGTTCAATCCCCAGTACCAAAATAATAAAAAAAAAAGAAGTCAGCTCCTGTTCACTGATAATAGTATAGTATGGACATCTGAAATTGGGGGCAGGGAGGCACACTGGGGATTGAACCCAGGGCCTTTGCACTGAGCTACAAACCCAGCCCTTTTTTTAAAGTTTTATTTTGAGACAGGATCTTGTCAAGTTGCTAAGTTGCCCAAGCTGGGCTTGAACTTTCAATCCTCCTGGATCAGCCTCCCAGAATGCTAGGATAACAGATGTGTGCCACCACAACTGGCTAATTTATATGTCTCAAATTTTTGAACCTGTATTATTATTGACTCCTAGTGCCACCCCCTACCCCAGTACCGGGGATTGAACTCAGGACCTTGCACTTGTCAGGCATGCACAGTGCCACTGACCTATATCCCCAGCCCTGCACTTGTACTATTATTAACTTCAGAGTTAGTGATTTATTTTTTTAAAACTGCTATCTTTCTAAAATTTATTTTAAAAGCCCAAAAGATCAGATTGTCTCATAGTAAACCCAATTGTAGTTGTATGTTTTATTAGAAGGGGCTCTCTCAGCACCTGCAGATTTCAGCCCTAAACTAAGAAAAAAAATTTTTTTTTTTGTGGGGCTGGGGAATCAAACCCAGGACTTAGTATATGCTAGCCAAGAGCTCATTTGAGTTACATCCTCAGCTCTTTTTATTTCATTTTTGTTTGTGTATTTGTTTTATAGTAAGATTGAACCTGGGGGGTAGGGGGTGTGCTCTAGCACTGAACCACATACCCTGTCCTTTCTATTTTTTAATTTTTTTTGGTACCGAGGAATCGAACTCGGGACCTTGTGCTTGCAAGGCAGGCAGTAGCGTCACTGAGCTAAATCCCTGCCCTATTTTTTAATTTTTGAGACAGGTTCTCGCTGAGTTGCCCAGGCTAACTTCAAACTTGTGGTCCTCGTGCCCTAGCCTCCTGAGTAGCTGAGAGTACAGGTGCCAATGCACTTGGCTCTAAACCATGAAGAAAAATTCTAACTCTTCAACAAATAAAACTACACAGTGAAGCCGGGGATTTAGCTCAGAGGTTCTGCTGCCTGCCTTGCAAGCACAAGGTCCCAAGTTCAATCCCCAGTACCAAAAAAACCCAAAAAAACCCCCTACACAGTGAGGAAGTGACTGTCAAAGAGCCATGATGCTGCCAAGTCTATCTTGCCCACCAACTTGACTCCCTCAAATTCCCATTACTATGCACCATTCATCTCTCTCACCTCATTGTTCATGTAATGTAGATCAAGAGGTTGCCCAAATACTGTTGCCACCTTGTGCTCCACATCTTCATATCTCACAGGCCGGCTGAATGCTATAATTCTGAAAAGAACGTGAGAGTTGGTTAACTATTACTTAAAACACAGTATTTAGAAAGCAGAAGCCTGAGTGTAGTTTCCCTTTCTTTTCAATATAAGATTATCTTTTTTCATTTATTCAGTTTGCCTTTTTCTCTACTGCTTCTTGGGAGAGCTATCCTTTTTTTTTTGTACCAGGTATCGAATTCAGGACCTTGTGCATATGAGGCAGGCGCAGTGCCACTGAGCTAAATCCCTACTGCTTCTTTTTCGTCTCTTCTCTACTTTACCCTTTTGCCCTTCATCTGAGCCTCCCTTAGGTCTGACAATAGCGCTCACAACCATTGTTGAATCCCAACCATTTATTTTACTACTTTAAGCTTGGATGTTTAGGTAGGCCAATGGCAGTATGTATCACAGCAGGCTACTTGATTTAAACACTATGTTACAAATATTCTTGTTAGGAAATATGCTAGAAAACCTAGAAATCAAAGTAGCAGTCTTGAATACATGATCTCAATTTCTAAGTTACTCAACTCTTAAGATCTGAAAGGTCTTTTCCAGTGTTCATTTTTGAACAGGAATATCAATATAGTAGTGATTATTCTCAGAACTGAGATTCACATGATGGGAATTCCCCTTGCATTGATGATATTTGATTAGTTTTCTTCTCTTTTCTTCACCATACTGGGGATTGAACCCAGGGCCTTTGCACTGAGTTATATTTTCAGCTCTTTTTAAAAATTTGAGATAGGGGGCCGGGGATTTGCCTCAGTGGTTCTGCCGCCTGCCTCACAAGCACAAGGTCCTGAGTTTGATCCCCAGTACCAAAAAAAAAGGGGCTGGGGATTTAGCTCAGTGGTTCCAGTGCCTGCCTCACAAGCGCAAGGTCCCGAGTACGATCCCCGGTAGCAAAAAAAAAAAATTTGAGATAGGATCCTGCTAATTTCCCAAGCCTGCGCTCAAACTTACAATCTTCCTTCCTCAGCCTACCAAGTAGCTGGGATTATAGGCAGGTGCTATTGTGCCTTGCCAGATCAGTTTTTTTAAACCACTGTCACATCTGGGCATGTAAGTATTGTTGATATTGAAGCTTTACTGTAGAGATTCATTAGGTCAATTAAAAAAACCAATTTCTATAAATATAAAGCAGAGTAAGACCTTGAGCAAAGAGGTATTAAAATATTTATTAAATATCCCAGAAAAATTAAAAGGTGGGAATAAATAAAACAAGACTAGCTAAATGTTGATAATGTGGAAGCTAGATGACAAGTCCATGGATGTTCAGTATAATATTCTATTCATGTTCACATGTGTTGGAAATTTTCATAATAAAAGGGCTTTTTGTTTGATTGTTTTGGTGGTACTGGGAACTGAACTCCAGACCTTTGCAATGAGCTACATCCCCAGACCCTTTTTTTGTTTTACTGAGACAGTTTCACTAAATCAATAAATTACGAAGAGTGGGCTCAAACTTGAAATCTTCCTCCCTTAGCCTCCCAGAGTACTGAGTTACAGGAGTGTACCACCACATCTGGCAATAATAAAAAATTTTAATCAATATATTAGGTTTAATTATATAGGACTGCTGATGGTCAACCATTTGGGGGGGGTTAGTCAATCATTTTTGATACACAAAGGTAGTAATTTCATAAGGGGTCCAACCTAATATCCTAGAACCTGAATAATTAAAAATAAGCAAAGAGATAAATGGAACAGAAGAGAACATCAGAAAGAAACACAGGCCAGGGATTTAGCTCAGTGGTTCCACTGCCTGCCTTGCAAGCACAAGGTCCTGAGTTCGATCCCTGGTAACCACCTCCCCCAATCTTGCCAGGTGTGGTGGCACATGACTGTAATCCAGCACTGGGAAGGCTGAGGGAGGACTGCCAGAAGTTCGAGGCCAGCCTGGACTACACAGTGAGTTCAAAGCCAGCCTGAACTACATAGTGAGACCCTGTCTCCAAAAACCAAAATAACAACAAAACAAAACTAAAAAACAAAAACAAGAATCTTGGCCAGGCATGGCGGTACATGTCTACGGTCTTCATTACTCAGAAGGCAGAAGTAGGAGGATGGCCTGAAGCCAAGAGTTCAAGACCACCTGGAGCTACACAGTGAGATCCTACCTTTAAAAAGTATGTTACAGGGGCCGGGGATCTGGCTCAGTGGTTTCTCAGCCTGCTGTGCAAGCTCAAGGACCTGAGTTCGATCACAAGTACCAAAAAAAAAAAAAAAGTATGTTACAGGGGAAAATGTCTTCCTAAACATAATATAAACAAAAATCAAGAAGATAGACTTGACAACAAAAATTTAAACTTGATAGAAAAATAAACCATCAATGAAGATTTTAAAAAATATATCAAACTTGGAGAAAATATTTAACAAATATCCATTAAAAAAATAAATGAAGAAAAAAGACAAAAAAACCTCAACAGAAAAAGAGACAATTTACAGAAGAATTAGGAATACACACATGAAAAGATGTTCCATGATTAGGACATTGCATATTAAAACAACCTTCATCTCGGTATGCCTAAGCAGGATGAAATCAGCCTCATGGGGAAACAGCAGCATACAGCCATGGGCTCTATACTGCTTGGCCTCCTCCACAATGACAGGAAGAATTGTGCAGTTCTTTCACATCTTCCCTGCTCCCCCAGAGTGGGAAGTGGTATAACTAGAGGAAGAAGCCATAAGCCACAGGAAAAGAGGGATCTAAACCATTGGATTTTAATAAACTATGACTAAGATAATTCTTTAATGTTTCTCTGTGCTAGGTTGGATCAAATTAATGAGCAGTATAAAAAACCTTCATCGTCTAGAGCTGTGTTATCCAATTTGGCAACCAATAGCCACATGGTTCTATTTAAATTAAATTTAAAATTGATCCCTCAGTCTCACTAGCCACATATGAAAGGCTCACTAGCCACATGTGGTTAGTGGCTACTGTACTGGGCAGCACAAATATAGAACATTTCCATTATAGCAGAAACTTTTATTGGACAGATTTGATAGAATATTACTACAAACCATAATCTGTCCTTCATGTAAAGCCTGACATCTCAGGAAGATAATTCCGCCATAGTTTTTCCTTTGGAAATTATACTGCCAAATATATTGATTTGTCTCCACTAGGAAATCCATTCATGATATATATAATTTTTATATCTTTATTCTCAAATCCACTGTTCCAAGCAGTGATAGTGTTAGTTACTATTAAAGATACTATCTAGATGGGTTATATAGGAAGGTGTTTTCTGGAGCCTCTGGAGAGAAGATAGTTCTTTATTAATTCCTGATATCAAATCATACCCTCACTTCAGGGATTCACCAAGAGTTTAAAGGGGAGCAGCTTTGCTCAAGGACTGTCTAGGCAACATAATGTGACTGTTGCAAAATAAAACAAAGGGCTGGGAGTGTAGCTAGCTCACTAAGGCCATCGGATCAATCCCTAGTAGGAGAAAAAAAAAAAAAGAAAAAGAAAATGGCCTTTCTGGATAAAATACCACAAGTCTACTCCAGATGTTCCTAGCACAATCCTAGAAAAGAATCAGGCTCAGAGATTTAATTCTCCTGTATTTGGTCTGCCAATGAGCCATTCAAAACCCCTAAAAGCCACCTGATAGTCTGATCGAGATCAGAAATCAGGACTTTGATGAAAAATCAAATGAACACTATACAATTGTAATGAGGGAACCTCAATACCCTACTGCTACAAATAGATCAACTAGACAAAAAATCCACAAAGAGATATCAGAACTGAACCAAACTTTTGAACAAATGGACTTAGATGTTTACAGAGTGTTCCATCACATCATCAGAATACACATTCTTCTCAGCTGCACATGGGATATTCTCCAAAATAGACCACATACTAGCTCACAGAACATGCTTAAGTAAATGCAAAGGAACTGAAATTATACCATGCATATTATTAGACCATAGTGTATGAAATTGGAAATCAACGTTGAAAGAAACCACAAAACTCCCACAAACACATGAAAATTATTTTCTTTTTTTTTTTGGTACCAGGGAGCGAACTCAGATCCTTGTGCTTGTGGGGCAGGCGGCAGAATCACTGAACTAAATCCCTGGCCCAACACATGGAAATTAAATAACACCCTCTTGAATAACCAATGGTCACAGATGAAATTAAAAAAGAAATTAGACATTTTTTACAACTAAATGACAATGCCAGTACAACACACTGGAAGTTATGGGGTGCAATGAAAGCAGTTCTACAAGGGAAATTTATAGCGGTGAATTCCCATATCAGAAAAACAAACTGAGCTCAAATAACCTAATGTTGAACCTTAAGCTTCTAGAAAAAGAGGATCAAGTCAAGCCCAAAGCTCTTACAAGAAAGGAAATTATAAAGACCACAGCAGAAATTAATGCAATGGAGACTAAGAAAACAATACAAAGAATCAATGAATTGAAGAGTTGATTCTTTGAAAGATTAAATAAAATTGAGGCTGGGGATTTAGCTCAGTGATGCCATGTCTCCCTTGTAAGCACAAGGTCCTGAGTTCGATCCCTGGTCCAAAAAAAAAAGATTAAATAAAATTGGCAAACCCTTAGCCAATCTCATCAAAAAAAAAAAAAAAAGGAAAGGAAAGAAAAGACTCAAATCCATGCAATTAGGAATGAAAGGGGTGAAATCACTACAGAAATCCAGAAGATCATCAATACCTACTTGAAGAACGTATTCTAATAGGATGGAAAACACAGAAGAAATGGGACTGATTCTTAGATACATATGAATTACCAAAACTGAATCAGGAAGATTTAAAAATTCTAAATAACCCAATATCAGTCAATGAAATTGAAGATGTAATTAAAAACCTACCAACAAGGAAAGGCCCAGGCCTTGATGGATTCACTGCTGAATCCTACAAGAAATTTAGAGAAGATCTAATGCCTCTACTTCTCAAACTCTTTAATGAAATTGAAAGGAAAGTAATACTTCCACATTCATTCCTGGAAGCAAGCATTAACTTGATACCAAAAACCAGAAAAAAAAAAAAGAGAATCAGGCCAATCTCCCTAATGAATATGGATACAAAAATCCTCAATAAGATACTGGCAAACAAAATACAGTGAATTATCAAGAACTTTATATACCATGACCAAGCAGGATTCATCCCTGGGATGCAAGGATGGCTCAACATATGCAAATTAATAAATGTAATACACCATATTAACAGAACCAAGGACAAAAACCATTTCAATAGATGCACAAAATTCATTTGACAAAGTCCAACACCCATTCATCATAAAAACCCTACAGAAAACTGGAATAGATGATCTTTATCTCAATCTGATAAAAGTCATCTATGACAAACCAACAAGCCAACATCATATTAAATGGACAAAAACTGAAAACATTCACTCTAAAATCAGGAACAAGACAAGGATGTCCACTATCACCACATTTACTCAATAGAGTTCTGGAAACATTAGCCAGAGCAATGAGACAAGAGAAAGAAATAAAAGAAATAAGGACAGGAAAAGAAGTTAAATTATCATTATTTGTGATGACATGATACGTAGAAGACTCCAAAAACTCACAATACCTATACTACAAAGCTACTGTGATTAAAAACAGCATGCTAGGGCCAGGGATTTAGCTCAGTGGTTCCACCGCTTGCCTTGCAAGCACAAGGACCTGAGTTCGATCCCTAGTACAAAAAAAAAAACCAGCATGCTGGGCCGGGGATTTAGCTCAGTGGTTTCGCTGCCTGCTGCTCAAGCGCAAGGACCAGAGTTCAATCCTTAGTACCAAAAAACCCCCCCCAAAAAACCAGCATGCCAGTGGCAAAAAAAACAGACCTGAGGATCAATGGAACAGACCAGAACAGAAACAACTCCAAACATACTCATTCACCTTATCTTTGACAAAGGAGCCAAACACCTTTACTGGAAGAAAGATAGCCTCTTTTAATAAATGGTGCTGGTGGGCCAGGGATTTAGCTCAGTGGTTCTGCCACTTGCCTCTCAAGCACAAGGTCCCGAGTTTGATCCCCAGTACCAAAAAAAAAAAAAAAGACTAATAAATAGTGCTGGAAAAACTCACTTTCCACATGCCAAAGACTTAAACTAGACCCGTATCTTTCACCATGCACTACACTAAAACTGAAATGGATCAAAGATCTAAATATTAAAACAGAAACACTAAATCTGCTAGATGATAGAATAGGCAGAACTCTTTAAGACACTGGTGTAGACAAAGACTTCATGAACAAAACCACAACCATACAGAACTAGCGCAAAGAATCAACAACTGGGACCTCATCTTATTAAAAAGCTTTTGCACAGCAAGACAAACCATAGTGTGGGAAAAAATTTTTGGTAGCTGTTCCTCAGACAAAGGACTAATATCTGGAATATATAAAGAACTCAAAAAACACCAGACCCCCCCCCAAATTTAAAGACCCAATCTAAAAATTGGCATCTAAAACGAATAGACACTTCTCAGATGACGTAGAAACAGCAAATAAATATATGAAAAAAATGTTCAAGTTAGGACACACATGTGTAAATATCCAATAGTTTCTCTAGTGTGAGAAACTGAAAGTGTAAATAAGGATTAAAATGATTAAAATGAATAACTGATAATTTGAAATAGGAAGAAAAGGTCCAAAGGGGTAGGGGTGGTGGGAGGGGAAGGGGAAAGGACAGAAGGGAAAGGAAAGAAGGGAAAGGAAAAATTAAGAGAAAAGAAAAAAAATGGAAACAAAATCTATGTAAATAGGGAAGGGGGGACGGGGTGAAGGACGCACAGGTAATGGGGAAAATAATAAGAACCAAGATACATCCTATACAAGTACAGGTACATCAAGCACCCAATGATAAATGTAAACGTATTGTATACCTAAAATGTACCAATAAAAGAATTTAAAAAGAAAAGATGTTCAAAAGAAAATATGTTCAACATCACTGGTCATTCGAGAGATGCAAATTAAAGTAACACTGAGATTCTATCTCACTCCAGAAAGAATGGCTATTATCAAGAAATCAACCAATAACAAACGCTGGCGGGGCTATGGGGAAAAAGGAACCCTTCTACCCGGTTGGTGGGAGTGTAGGCTGGTACAACCACTGTGGAAATCAGTGTAGAGATTCCTCAGAAAACTAAAACTAGAGGTTCTATTTGACCCAGCTATTCCTCTTCTTGGTATTTTCCTGAAAGAATTAAAAGCATCATACCACAGTGATATATATACACACACCCATGTTTACAGCAGCTCCCTCTGTAACAGCTAAATCTTGGAAACAGCCCAAACGCCCATCAACCGATGAATGGATAAAGAAGATGTGGGTTGTTTTCTTTTTAATATAATGGAGTACTACTCTGCAAAACAGAGATTCAAATCTGGAACCACCACCCTATCAGTGTCCTGCCATTAAGGCTTTCAAAAGGAAGGCGATCTTAACCTACAGTCCTCCTCTTTGGGCCCCAGTGGCTAGGGGTGGAGGGTCACCCTTTAGCCCTCTGGCCTTACCCTCTTAAAACAAAGACAAAGTCTGCCCACCAGAATGGATACCTGGCATGAATGAATGGGAAATGTCACTAATTTCCTTTTTTTCTATAAATCCCAATTCTGTAAAAGTGTGTATTTTGAAAGATACTGCTCACATTCCCTGTAAAAAATGAAGCCCACAATGACATCCTCTATAAAACCCTAGGATATAAAATACATGAAAACTAGAGCTGCCTGGCACAGAACAGCTTGAACTTGGCTTCCTGGTACCAACTTTCTAAAGTCCTCAATTCCACACATAGTACACAAATGGTGAAATGCCACAGCTCCTGAAAACAGATCCATAAAAAGAGAATGCACAGTTTTCAAAATCTTGATACCAACATTCTTTCACTCAGGGCTTCAGAAGGCCATTCCTGTCTGACCACCTTAAATATTTGTGGTTTCAATCTGGCAGCTTCTCTGAAACCAAACACATACACTTTCTCAGTGTAAGTTCACTCACTGTAACTGCATACTACTTTGGCAAGAGAGAATTCAGAAGAGTTTAACTGCATAATTAGGCTTCAACACAATTGAGCTTTTCATTTCATATCTACTTCTGAAAATTCTCTTCTACTCCAAGTTTGGCCATCTTTCCAAATCCCATTCAATCAGAGTGTGAAAAGCAGCAATGATGAAGTGGCAATTTAATTTCCTTGTTTCTGCCAGGATGCAAGCTGAGAGCTGTGGACGGAGCTCAGAAGACCTTCCTTCTTCCAGGGCTGGAACAGTCCTAGAACCTATAAGGGAGCAGCAGGACCCTGGTTCTGCAGACCACATTTTCCACAATGTTTCTACCAGGCAGCCTCTAACAACCTTGCAGGCTCGTGAATGGATTTTTAAAAAAGAGGACAGCAGCATATGGAGCTATCTTCAAAGTGGGCTGAAAGGTGCCAGCTGCAGAGCACTCCCAGAATGAACATGTGGAGTTACTAAGGTCCTACAGTGGGACTCTCAAAGCTGAAGACCTTCTCATAAACACACTCTTCACCTCTCCAAATACTCAAAGCACAGGGGAAAAGTGGGGACAGCAACAGGAAGAAGAGGCAAAGAGTTGGTAACTAATACTAAGAGGCACACTTAGGTACACCTAGGCCACACACATACACATACAAGGTCCCATGACCAGAGTCCTGTATCCTTTTTAAACATTTTCCCTCAGACAACTGAGAAATTAAATGGAGTCACATTTTTCTCCATTGAGAATTTCTACTTGGCTTCCCACATAAAATAATGATGATGATGATAACTAAAATGTTCATGATTGGCCAGGTGTGGTGGTGCACGCCTGTAGTCCTAGCACTCAGGAGGCTGAGGCAGGAGGACTGCCGCAAGTTTGAGGCCAGGCTGGGCTACATAGTAAGTTCAAGGCCACCCTGAACTACACAGTGAGAGTGAGACCTTGTCTCCAAAAAAAAAAAAAAAAAGTTCATGACAGAGAAAAAGAAGAGTTTTATAACATTATTTTTACTTTACTAATGAGATAAGATTTAGAATATAAACTGAAAAACTTCCTTTATGTCCTCAAAAGATCAAACTTCCAAAACTGAGGGACTTGGTACAGCTTCCCATGACCTACAGACATCATGAAGAAACTTCCAATTCACCAGCCTGATCCTAAAAGCTGGGCTACTCTACAGGGAATTGGATTGGCACCACATCACTGAACCATCCCAACCTCCCTCTGCTGCCCGCCCACAGGTGGCACAAGATCGGTCAGTTATATGGAAGTCATGATTCTGAGTAGAGCTGGCACCTTCACTTCCTCCTTTAGCAAAATAGCAGAATAGAGGAGAATAATAAAATAGCAGCAGTTAAAATGACTTCAAATTCTAAGACCAAGAAACGAGGTCAAGTGGCAGGCCAAAACAAGGATGAAACTTTCCCCTTTATGAACAGTCAACCCCATTCCTTAGCCATCAGTCCCACAGGGATCATGACAGGTTTCCTAAGCTCAGTGCTTTCTGAGAACTGCAGCACACACAAACACAACTACTGATCAGAAGGCAACTTACCGTCTCTCCCCATTGTGCTCAAACTTGATTCTGACGTCACTCTGCCAAAAGCAATGATACATAGGTTAGAGAGTTCTTTAGTACACACTACTCCATCCATTCCCAAGTAAGCCTTGGGCAGTCCTTTAACAACAGTAGGCAAATACCTCTCACGGCTCCTGGTTCAGTTACTACCCAGAAAGGCATTTCTTTCCAATGAGTTACAACTTCTAGTTCTAATCTCAGAAGCAACAAAGCTCTTGGGACAAGATCCCTAGGTGCCTGCCCCAGCTCAGTTTCTAGATTTATACAGTCTCTACTTCTATAACAGGCTATGGAATTTCTCCTACTATACACTTCCTCACCAGGATACCTTTCCTTCTTGATACTACTAAATAAATCTTGAGGCAGACCACAGGCAAGTTGCTTATCCTCTGTGATTTTTATTCCATTTGTAAAGTGGGGTTAAACATATCTTGCAGAGTTGCTATGAGGACTAAATGAGTTGTTAGTAAAATACCTGACATGCAGTAGACATATGATAAATATTTGTTTGCTTCTGCCGCTGCTATTTCTACCACTATCATGGGATTTCCCATAATCTTCACCAGGCTATCCTAGTGGAATTAAAGGAGGACCCTAAACAAATTACCTTAGACACTGTTCCCAGCTTTCTCCAAAGTGACCATTCTTGGGCATATAAATTGGGAGGGCAGGAATCATGTTTATCTTGTTTCTATATGCCCAGGGCCAACCAAAGGGAATGACATATAATATTTGTTAAGTGGATGAAGGATTGAAGAACAGAACTGAGACTAAATGTCAAAAATATAGGGACGTAGAAATATTAAAATGTTATTTTTAAAATCCAGGAGAAATAAATATTGTAAACATTATTTGAGGGAGTTAGAAAAATGAGAGGAAAGAGATATTACAGAAGAAGACATAGCAGGGGGAAAAGTAAAATTGTCAGGAAACCAGAAAATAATAGATGAAGAGAAGAAAGAATTCATAGTCGCTGAGTAAAACATTATACTAAAAAAGACAAACAACAGACTGTGGCTTATGCTGGGCACAGTGGCGCATACCTATAATCCCACTGCTTGAGAGGCTGAAGCAGCAAGATCTCAAGTGTAAGCTCAAAAGCAGCCTGAGCTACACAGCAAGACCCTGTCTCAAAAAATCTAATACTTGGCCAGGCATGATAGTACATGTCTGTAACTCCAGCACTTGGGAAGCTGAGGCAGGAGGATTGCCAGAGTCTGAGGGCAGCCTGGGCTACATAGTGAGACCTTATCATTAAAACAAAACAAAGACCTTCAAAGCTTCTAAATTGGAAAGCAAATAGCAGTCAGAGATGACAGAAAAAGGAGTTTGAAAGGTAGGGAGAGTACATAAAGGACTCCCTTCTCCCGCAAAGGGCTAGAATTCTCTTCTAGTCTGCTGAATTGGAACAATGGTTCTCATCTACCCTCTAAAAATTACTGAAAACCTTAAGAGCTTTTGTTTATCTGGCTAATTTAAACTAATATTTACCATAATAGAATTACATATATTAATTAAGCTAATCCCCACAACAGGTACTATTACTATCACTATTTTACTGAAGATAAACAAGTTTTACTGAGTTACAACAAGGTTCAGTAAATTCACCCAAGGTCACATCATACTCTTTGTAAAGTAAGAGCCAGGACTCAAACTCTAGAAGCCTGGCTCCAATGGGACCATTGGCAGCAACTGAAAGCAACACTACCAAAGAATCTTATGTGACCTTACTTTTTGGAATTCATGAAGAAAGAGATTAAAAGCTCCCCATATCTAGGGTAATAATGGAGTCAGAACCTAGAGACCAAGATACCAACCACATAGTAAACGGAGGAGCCAGAAGGGGAGCCTTTGGTTGAGGTTGTGGATGGATGGGGCCAGAGAAGGTAGAACAGGAAGGTGTCCCTATCTGACCTGCACTCCAGGTAGAATGTATGCATGTGTACCTATGTATAGTACACGGACAGAAGGTACGGCAATGCAGTGGAGGGAGATGCCATATGGATTCAAGGTTTATATGAGTGACAGCAGTTTTTTCATCACTGTCTTCTTTTTTTCCTTTCCTCTCTATTCTAAGCAACTGCCATAACAAGAGCCCTCCAAAACATGGTCCTTGAGACATGTTGTCATGCTCCGACATGTGGTCTCCAGTTTCTCACTTTCTACTACCACAATGGGCTCTGGAGCATCCCAAGTACTCATTAAACTTAATAGTCCTTTCTGCCCCTGTAGGTAGGCTACCAGATCCTTCCACTGCTCCTGCCTACAGCCCAGTACACCTTAGTGTAGCTCTCATTATTAGTACTTTTTAAATTAATAGATTTTTGGAAGTTTTAGATCTACAGAAAACTTGAGGAGCTAGAGCAGAGGTCCCATATAATCCCCTCATACAACTCTTCCCTATTATTAACATCTTACATCAGCACAGGATGTTGCCTTTTGTTACAATTAGGTTTTTCTGTTGCTGTTGTTTTTTGGGTTTTTTTGAGATAAGGTCTCTCCATGTAGTTCAGACTGGCCTTGAACTCATATGTAACCCAGGTTGGCCTGGAACTCTCAGCAATCCTCCTGCCTTAGACTCAGGCGGAGTGCTGGGATTACAGGCCTGTGCCACCACACCTGGCTAATCAGTTAATATTGATGTATCAACTAAAGCCCATCGCTGATTCAGATTTCCTCAGGTCTTTTTCTGTTGATTTTTATCTAATTTTTTTCAATCTTAAAAATTGTGGCAAGAAGGAACCTCCTCAGTCTCTTTACAGGCTGAAAGAACTAAATTTATTTTATGATGGGCTCTAACAGGAACACAGCTCTACATGAAATTAATTAGAAATGGAACTGAACTTTTGCTCCAAATCACAAATCACTTGTATTCAAGCCTAACCAAGCTTGGGACTACTAAGCAGTACAAAGATGCCTTTTCTGATGCCATGACAGCCATCCCAGAGCAGGATGCAGGCTTCCATGTCTCATGTGATGTGCACAAATCCGCATTTCTCCTGACAGGCTGACAACAATAAGCCATGGATAAGGATGGTTCAGAAAAAGATAACTTGGGCTGGGGATTTAGCTCAGTGGTTTCACTGTCTGCTGTGCAAGCGCAAGGACCCGAGTTCGATCCCCAGTCCAAAAAAAAAAAAAAACTTTATTCAATCTCTTCCTGCCAACTATTCTTCACCTCTCAGAGGCATTTTGTACTGGTAGCCAAGTCCTCTGACTTCTGTGACTATTCTGCCCAGGGAACCTGCCACTACTCTAGCCACTTCTGTTTCCTTGCTGATTCTTTGTGCCCTCTTCTCCCCTCATCCCACATGTAACCATGGGCTTTTAATCTCCAGCTTCCTTTTCCCTTCAACACTTTCTCCTCAGTAGGGATACAATTAATCACAAGTCAATCTCTAAATAGAAGATTCTCAAATCTCTATGTTCAGCCCCAATCTATGAAGCAAAACTTCTTCTGCTTGTCATGTATTTGAGGCAGATATGTAGTTGTTAAAAATGTAGCACTGGGGTCAAATTGCTTACTTTATGCCCTAGCTCTACAGCTTCTTGTGTGATCTTGAACTTGTTATGTAACCTCTCTGTGACTGTCTCCTTGTCTCTAAAGTAAAAATAACAATAGCAGTATTTATCTGATGGATTTACACTTACTTATAATAACAACTGAGTAAAGAGATTAGAATAATACCCAATTTATAAGTGCTCAATAAGTGATAATACAGGCCCATTATGCTTGAATCAAAACCACCAAGGCCAACAGTTTTTCAGAATCCACATTTAGGACTTATTGAGGTAGTGTGGTATGTATTCTATATATCATGTGATGCCTTCCCTCTTCCCAGAGGAGTGAGGGGGTGGCTGGCATAGCACTCCTATCAGAGAGGCAGAATGCTCACAAGTATTTCCTGCACTCCCCTGCATTTCCTGAAGTTAGTTTAGGTATTTTTTCCCCTGCTTGCCTAGTTCTGAACAAGAGCTGGGAAGAGAACTGATTCTAAACTTTTCCCTAGCAGCCATATGGCCCAAGACAGTGAGGCCCCCTCCACCGAAGTTGCTAAGTGACTATAAAGAACACTGTCTTCCCCTCCATACTAGACATATCATCATAAGTTTCTACAGTTTGCAGTTTGTCTGTTAACATAGTACAAACTAGTTATCCAAGCTATCCAATTTTTGTAGTGAAAGTATGAATATGTATAATAAATGGGATGGAGAAAGACTATAAATATCACTGGGTCTGTTCAGGCCAAGTTTTGCTGCCAAATGAGTTTTCTGCAAATCAAAAAAAACCCCAAAGCTTTAGTTTGCAGAATTCTTTGGATTTCAGACTGCACAGAAGAGACTGTGGACTTGCAAAAATCAACACACATGGGCCAGGGATGTAGTTCAGTGGCACCATGCCTGCCTGGCAAGCGCAAAGTCCTGAGTTTGATCCCTAGTACTGGAAAAAAAAAACCCCAAAACCAACCCCCACACCCCCCCCCACACATCCCTCACATACTTTCAAAGTTTTTTTCCACTGTAATCTCAAAACTTAACCTGGCCATATATATCTACATTAACTACCCTCCAAAATTAGTTTCCCTTCTCAGTGTTGCCACTTCTAGCTTTAGTACTGCTGTTCTCTCAACTATACATAGTTAAACTCTGAGTTTTGCTTGATCCTTTCTCCCTCAGACAGACATCAAGTTCCAATTCTCGCTTCAAAGGCCTCCAGTATGAAACTTCACTTTCCATTCTTTCTGACATCTTGTTGGTCACCTGGATTCCAAAAACCACCTCTATACTTCTCAGCTTCCCCCTTCCAGCCCACACTACATTCCTCTACAGGTCTAACCATCTTATCTATCTCATTCAACATAAGCTTTCCTTAATCAAAAAGTAACCAGTGATACCCATGGTCTACGGAATAAAGTCTAAATTCTCTGCTATCATTTGAAGTCCTCTAAAATTTAGGCTCATTTAGTTTACCTAACCATCTCACACTTTTTGTTCCCCATGGTAACCCTCCTCTCCAACCAGATCAATGCTCTCCCTTATTTTCTGAAATGCAGTATACCATATTCATTCCTTCTTTGTAGACCTTTTGAATCATCTGCTTTATGACCTGGAGTGTCCCCTTCCTCCTCCCCAACCAACTAAACTTTTATACAACCTTCACAGCCTGGCTCAAATGCCACCTCCATTTGAAATGACTCCTTAGTGCCTTTGAACCAAGCTTTATACCTTTTACTTTCCTGGTTTTCTATAGCACTCACTTTTTTGGACCATACAATTAATTAGATACAATCACATCCAACCATAATCTCTTTTTTGTGTGTGTATTTCTCATTTTCCTAAATAAGACTGTATAATTCCGGGAGTACAAGGCACATGACCTATATTTTTTACATGTGTCCATCTAAGAAGGCTGACTATAGGAATAACGTTGAACGGAATGAAGAGGAACCACAGATGCTGAGAAAAAAAGTTCAAAAATTTACAAAGGTTCAAGTCTCCTCCTCATCACAGTTAACTGGTGAGAAGAACAGTGAGAGTCACGCTCAGAAGAGGAACAGGTTATAGTAAAAGAAAAGGAAAAAAACAAAGAAGGCAGAGGAAGAAGAAGAGAAGAGGGACAGAGCAGCCCTTAAACTTAAGCAGAAATCACCCTCTCAAAGTCTGTACTTCATGGTTGAACATGTAATCTGAGAGTGCTCTGGGGAATCCAGTAAAATCAAACTATTTATTAAACAAAGGTTTATGAACTAATTTGATCTGGCAAATGCCTCAGCCGTTATCTTTCTTATCCTCTCTCTGATTTGTATTACCCCCTGTTCTTGTATTTGCTGTATATAACTTGGATAGCTCTTTGGAACTGCAGTCTTTATTTTGCCAGACAGTAAATAAATAAAAGAAAAACACAACAAAAATAAAAATTTTATTTGTAATCATGACTCAAGAAAGTCAGAAGAGAACAACAGAAGAAATGATTATGAATCAATCTTACAAAATAAAAGGTCAGGCTTGTGTGTTATTGTATATCTTATGTTCAAGCTGGCCAGCCCATCTTATCAATAATCCTCAAAAGAGAAAGGAAATTCTGAAGAGTTAGGTCTATCACTGTAAAAGCAAAAGACAGTCTACTCAATCACTGACCCTGCTATGGGTGAGTCCTCTGGGACTGACAGCAAAGGCCCTGCCCTGCTGGTGTTTTCCATAAAGAAACCAGCTTTTCCATTCTGAAGGGCCTACTAGTAAGTATTTGGAGAGGCAGATCCAGATCCCGGGTTCTGTTTAAGCATCTACCTAACATTTTGATAAGATCCACTGTGGTTTTCAGAAATTAGGCTAGATTCAGAAGTTTGCAAAAGACCATCAAGCAAATGGTAACAACAAGGGTGAGAAAACCCATAACCCAAGGTTATATGACTTATATTTGGTAAAACTTCTCTGACAAGGAATCAGAAGATTTAGGTTTGCTATCTGGCTCTACTTAATACCTCTGTGTAAAATCTCTGGAAATCTTAAAAGTATTATGCACATGCTTATAATTGTTGATATTATTAACTGTTGCTGTGGAAGGCACTCTGTAAATTGAAAAATCATATGTAAACAGATGGTTAACAAAAACTCTAGGACTTCTAGGCTAGTGTTCTTTCACTATATCAAATTATCAGCCCCACAAAGAACCAGCACCCATAAAGCACTGAGTATATGACAGCTGATGGGATGTTGCCCACTACAGCTTACAAAACCATACACAGACCCAAGCCATAACTAGGATGGGTCAAACATCTAATCATGCTGCAGGTCTCCAGAGATCTAATATACAGAAGGGAGAATGCAGAGAAGACAAGAATCTACCTCTTAGCTGAGTAACCCATTATCCATGTACTCCTACAGCTCCTCAGAATGCTTACTTGTTATCAAATGCATTCTCTCTTTCAATTGGTTACTCAGCTTGTTTATTTAAGGAAATGGATATCTAAGATTCTGCCAAGAGAGACTGAATTAGGTTCTCTAGTTCTTCCAGTACTCAGCCCTCAAACAATTCCATCAATGAACTCAGCTCCTTGGCTTTCTTAGCTGTGCCAAGCATGAGTCCCGTGAAGCTGTGCCAATCTCAACTCGGTTTTTGTAGCCAGCACCACCATTCTCACACTGAAGGACTGTTTGCCTCTGCCAACATCATTCTACCCATGAATAAACAGCCTTTATCGCTAGCCAAAATGCTTGGGTTACCTTCAACTGTGACTCTGCAATTTGAATCTTTAGCTCAATTTGACATTTCTTAACCCAGTTTGGCTTCTCTTAGCCTTCAAATTAGTTTTTGATCTTTCAGTCCTCTCTCTTCCTAAGCATGGACTTTCTGGCAGAAGAAATGGTAATGAAAAAAAAGTCAAAAGAAAAACCAAAACCCTGTTCCATTCTATCCCAGGCCTATGCTAGGAGAAACAATAATAAATGTTAATTTACTCAGTAAATTGCAAACTTTAACAGATTATTAACATGACGAGGTTCTTTTTATTACACTAAATTGCAAATACCTCTCCCCCATGCATTCCCCACACACCTATCTCACTCAATTTCTCCAGAAGTGAATTCTCTTTTTGCTTTCAGGAATTTGCTCTCTTGTTCAGAAGCTGCTGTACTTCTCAGGAGATAACATTTTACAACCTTGACTTCATTAAGGGGAGAAGCTATTTTGACATTTTCATTGCCCCTTTACCTAATATTACCCAATATTAAAACTTTGAGCTTTAATTTCTAAACAGCCATATTATTTCTACAGTTTCCCACTCCCCAAAGAACAGAATGTTAGGATTCCCACCGATGAGTTTATCACAATGCATAGAAACTCATGACCTGTGTAGAAGGAATGGATGCATCGATCTATACCTTTCTAAAGAGACATTTAATTTACCCCCTCCCCCCCTTTTTTGGTGGTATTGGGGATTAAACTCAAGGCCTCCACACTGACCTTTATCCTCAGTCCTTTTTTTATTTTTTATTTTGAGGCAGGATCTCGCTAAGTTGCTAGGTTGTTCAGGCTGGGCTTCAAATTACAATTCTCCTGCCTCAGCCTCCCAGGATGTTAAGATTATAGGTATGTACCACCATGTCCACCTCCATATACTTAATTTCTTGCCCAACAAATCAGCAGTCCCTTTTAAGTCCCTACTGTATTAGATAGTAGAACTTTATGTACTATGTAAGCTTTACAATATATAAAGTTGTACTACCAACAGCCACCAGCCACATGTGGCTAAATTAAAATTTTAGTTTAATAACAAAATTTAAAATTAAGTTCCTCAACACCCATAAGTGGCTAGTGGCAACTATAATGGACAACACAAATATAAACATTTCTGTCATCATCAAGTTTATTGGACAACATTAATAAAGGCTCCTTATCATCTTATATCATCTAATTGTATGGTAACTAGAATAACCAGTGCTCCCTACAAATCCACCAAAACCTCTTGTCTGGGAAATTAATTTTACTCTTCTAGCATGAGAAGCAGAATTTAAAAGCACATTTCAGCTTTAACAGGCAGTATGGGTCCTTACCAAAAATTTCTTTTTTTCACTGGCCCCTGCACATGAGCTTGTTGTTATTGTGGGGCTGTTCAGAAGGGCTGAGCTGCTGCTGCTGTGTTTTTTCTTTAAAAACAAAAAAACTGAGGTTAATAATTTGTATCCTCCATGCAACAGAAGAAAGTTTGACATTATTCAAGCATATTGCAGCTCTAAAGAGCTGATAGGTCTTGTTAAATTTACTTTCTGTCAATCCTTTTCACAACCTCATAACCACTGATTTTACTCCACTAACACAGCAGCAGGCACAGTAAGAAGTGAGGACTTCTCCTATGGTAGCTTTTAGTCTTGAAACAGGATTCCCAAAAAGTAATGCCCCCCTTAAGGACTACTAGGGACTACTCCAGTCCTCTTTTCCCCAGAGTGGTCCCTTTGAGTCCTCCAAGAAAGCTTCCCCTTTTCACCCACTAACTGCTATCCATGCTAATAGTCATTTGGAGAGAGATCAGCTAACTAGAGTGGCTGTGCACACGGACAGGAAGGAAAGTGAGGTCATTAGCCTCAAGCCTGGGGGAGGGGACCTGCTTCTGGTAAAATGCTCCTTCAAAAAGTGGCTCTGAATACAAATAAGTTACTTCAAGGGAAAGCCCACACAATTAGAGTAATGTATGAGAATAGTACAAGAATGGTCTCTAATCTGTTCCTACCCCAGTTTTGTAAGATCAAAGCAGCTTTCTAAACTAATCCTTCTGTTATAACATGAAACAAAAAGACCCCTCGCTAGGTTCCCTAGAATTCCTAAAAGCAGGAAATACTCTAGAAGGCAGACCACAGATAGAAAAAGTTCTAGAGCCTTATACAGTGGTGCTTTCATAAATTTGATTTTTTTCCATGATTCTGGTTACAAACTGAGTTGGATGAGAACCAAATCAAATTCAACAGTTAGGTTCAATGTTGACCTTATGGGGAAATTTGATTCAATTCTTGTTCAGTTCAGTTTGTGACCAGAATCATGGAGAGAACTGAGTTTATGTACCAAGATACCACTGTACCTTCTCTAAGATCCAAAGGTACCTCTGAAGAATTGGCAGACAAGATGTAAATGAGAGAGGAGGTTAGCTGATAAGAGAGAGAACCACAAGGGAGAATGTCAGGGAGAAATTTTCATCAAACATGCCCAACAGACCCATCAGATATAGCACTGGATACCCACTAAGTGGGAGAGGTCCCCATTTGTTCACTCTTCTCTGCAGGCCTAAGTACCCAGGAAACAAGACAGTAAATGACACTAACAGTGAGTGGAAGATTCTCAATGGCACATAAATTTAAATGTTAACAAAAACAGGAGTTTGGGATTATGAATCTGAATAAAATAATTGCTAAATAATCAGTAAAGGAAAAAATTATATAAATACTATCCCCATAACAAGTGAAGGAATTATTCTCCGCAGATGAAATGCTATGCATAAGGCTTTGGGACTCCAGATCATGGACCCATATGCGGTTGGCATATACCACCATTTAACAGACTGAAAGGAAAGGACCAACAGTATTCAAGGCTGGTATTTGAGTAGCCTTGGCTTTTCACATAGTTCCATTTGAAAATCCCTCCCCAACAAATCTAGATAACCTCTGCCAGAGCCACACACACCTGCTTATTTGGGTGACTCGTGTCCTTGTTCTTCATGGTCTCATATCCAGACACCCGGGGACGTCGACTCATCTGGAGAGCCACCAGATCCTTCATGATCGAGTCCAATGCCTCCTGCTCATCTGCAATGGAAGAGATCACATGAGCTAAGACACCTTAATACACAGCAAACCGCTTCCACAAATTATATAACACTCAAGGAGTTCTGTCCAGGTAAAATGACAGATCTAGTAACCATAACCACACAGCGGATGCCTCCCAAAAGTAGACAACTGAGGTTAGATTATGGCAATTTGAACTTAAATGAATTCTTATCAGCCCTCCAATCAGATTTCTGTTAGCAATATATACCAACTAATTATGACCAAGGGAGGTGCTCAAACAATTTGTCCAGTTCCAGAGAAACTCAACCAGGAAAAATAGATGAAAAATTGAAGTGAAGAATTATACAGTATAGTGTATAGTAGGGTATTAAATGAAAAGATAAATTCAGAGAAAAGTGATTAAGGGATAGTCAGCCCCAGTCCTATTCTTAAAGCATCATATGTAGGAAAATATATCTTAAAAGGTACCAAACAGGAGGGCTGCAGGTTTAGCTCAGTGGTGCCCCCACCTGCCTCACAAGCGCAAGGTCCCGAGTTCGATCCCCAGTACAAAAAGAAAAGAAAAAAAAGGCACCAAACAAGGAAAGCCTAGCCTTTGAAGGGTGCCCCATAACTCTTTACAAGTTTACAGGCCTTCTGCTTCCTATAGTAAAGTCAATGGGTAATATTATTGTTTTCCTTCCCTAACTGACCAAGCAATGTATTGTTTCTACCTTAGTGGAATTATTTTTAATTCCCTTTTCTTCTAATAGCATGAAGTACTAAGTTCTCATGCACTGAAAACAACTGGCCAAAACCCAGAATCCAAACTACCCCAATTCCAAGTTTTACAAAATTCCCCTGGTTCCTCTAAGAGGATCTTTGTCCATTCAAGTAACATTTAGAGGTTTAAAATTATCTAGAATGTGAGAAATGAACTGTTTCACTTACTTTGGTGACAGATGACTCACTTGGAAACTTTAAAAGAAGTTGGTATAAGCAAGACATAGAGGCAGGGGCAGGAGGATTGTGAGTTTAAGGCTAGTATGGGCTACACAGTGAGTTCAAGACCAGCCTGAAAAAAAAAAAAAAAAACCAGCCTGAACTACTGAGTGAGACTGTCTCAAAAAAAAAAAAAAGAAAAGAAAAAAGAAAGAAAGAAAAAGAAAAGAAAAAGAAAAAGAAAAAGAAAAAGAGAAAGAAAAAGATTTCACCCAGGGCCAGGGATTTAGCTCAGTGGTTTCATGGCCTGCTGCGCAAGCGCAAGGACCCAAGTTCAATCCCCGGTACCAAAAAACAAACAAACAAAAAAAAGATTTCACCCAAAGAGTGCCTATCTTCTTCCCTTTATCCTTATCCTTTGAGAATACGCTAATACCCTGTGAAAAAGAAAGAATAAGCATGAATCTAATCTGTTCTCCCACATTATTTCCCTCTTGCCTCTTTTTAGATCAATCTGTTCAGATACCTGTCATTCCCTCTAAGGATATGTAGGAAAGGAAAGACAAAGGTACCTACAAAAAGATTTCACCAGTTTAAAAAAAAAGTAAAACCAAATTTAAAACTTGCAGGGAAAATACCAGAGTAGCCTATCATATGATTTCACTTCATTTCACATAGAGTGACATATACCAAAAGCATTCAGTAAAGGGAACAAATGAGGAGGAAATATGTATCTCCAAAAAAAAAAAAGTAGTCAAAATTAAAACATATAAATTCCATCAATTATTTCATATTTCTAGTAATTTCCCTACAGATTCCTTAAAGTAAGTTTGGGGCTCAGGATGTATCTCAGTGGTGGAGGTGCAGGAGAATGTGCCTGGTTTTTTGTTTTGTTTCTTATCCTTACAACCAAGATTTAAAAACTAAAGCATAAGACTGGAGGTGTAGCTAAGTGGTAGTGAACTCGCCTAGCATGCACAGAGCCTTAGGTTCAATTCTCAGCATTATAAACAAACAAAACCTATCCTATGGTATAATATCTAAGCTAGGAAGACTAGCTTATGCATACAAGCTCACATAAGTTGACCTATATATCATTAAATATAATGTAGGTAAAATTAATTGAGAGGCTGGGGACATGGCTCAGTGGTAGATATGCTTTTTTTTTTTTAGTATTGGAGATTGAACTTAAATGCTCTACCAATGAGAGCCATCTCTAGCTTTTTTTTTTTTCTTTTTCCTATCCTAGTTTTATTTTAAGACAGGGTTTCACTAAGGTGCCCACGCTAGCCTTGAACTTGCCAGCCTCCTGCCTCAACCCCCCTCTCAATCCCCATAGCTAGGATTATAGGTGCACGTGCATGTGTGTGCACACATGCACACACACACGCACACACACACATGCACATTTTTCAAGTCAAATCTACAGTTATGACTGGAGAAATCATTTCTTATTCTTTGGAAGATGCTATTATTATAAGAGCTGGCTTGTTAGGTTGACAAATTCTGCTAACCTGGCATTATTTAATGGATAGACTTGTTTGGTAGTTCTACCATGAGAACACACAACAAAAATGGTTTGGCACTATTGCCTGAAATATGGAACAACTGACAGAAATGAAATAGGGTTATAGAATCTGATTAAGTCACACTAGAAGCAGACAAGTTCTTCAAACTGAGACATGGATAAAAGCAGGAAGTAAATTAAGTGGCTCTTTTAAATATTTCTTCCTGGATTAAGATTTTTAACTGAATTATACTTCTTCAATGGGGCAGTCCTTAAAAATCAAGCAAATAGGGGCCAGGGATTTAGCTCAGTGGTTCCGCCACCTGCCTCAAAAGCACAAGGACCCGAGTTCGATCCCTGGTACCAAAAAAAAAAAATGCTGGATATTATATCGTCAATAGGAAAAGGTCAATGGAAAAAGACTGGAGGTCACTTAATCTATTCTAGTATTTAATTTTATTCCTGAACTTTGCTAAATCATTAACGATTTACTGAATACTTACCATATATTATACAGAAGAAAGTTTTAAAAGCTACTTCAAGGTGTTCAAGCTCCAGGGGTAAAGGATAAATAAGACACAAATATAAGGTTATAGAACAGAGTGAATAGGCAATATACAAACCAGGGTACATAAACACAAATATATAAAATATATTTTTTAAATGTGAGTAGCAAGAGGTTGTGTAGATGATTTTATATAATTACTAACAGAATAAAGATTCTTCCAGAAAAGCAAACTATTCCAGCTTTCTGAGGAGAAAAGAAATTAGTATGCAAATAAGGGATAGAGGGGGAGCTGGGCATGGTGGGGCAGCCTGTAAATCTCAGTGCTACAGAGGCTGAAGCAGGAGGACCATCACAAGTTTTGAGCCCAGCCTCAACTACATAGTGAGACCCTGTCTCAAAAAAACAAAATAAAATAGGGGGGATAAAAAAGGGCTCATGACTGATCAATGAGTAATCCTCATCAAGTAGAGTGGGAAGAAGGGAAATTGACAAAAAAATGCTTTAAGAAGACTGGAAAAAACAACACCGAGAGGCCAAGAGCAAAAAAGGGTAGTGGCAAGGATAGGCCAGGCAAGTCCTACAGAATGGTAGCGGCAGAAACTAAATTTTAAAGGGAACCTAGAGGCTGAAGGTAAAAGCTGGAAGTAATAGAAAGTAACTGCATATTTGTGAACTTTACACATGAACAACTTAGGGTAAGGGTAATAATGCTATAATCGTGAAAAGACTTCCTAAAGATAGGGGTGGTCTGACATACTTTAAAAGCTGCCAAGAAAAAGTATAGAGAGGAAGAAGTTAATTTCTAAAGATTAAGAAGTTAGAAATCGGGCTGGGGATTTAGTTCAGTGGCACCACACCTGCCTCACAAGCACAAGGTCCTAAGTTCGACC